GCATAGATCACCCTGGTCGGGGCTGGGCAGATGACAAGCAGGGACTGTGAAAAGCGTCCTCCACTAGGGGGCAGTGCCTGAGGACCTGAGTCCATTCCCATCATATCTCTGCTATTCCAGGCCTGCCCCCCACCCCCAACAGCGCCCCTCAATCCTGACCTTGCAGCCTTGGACTTTTCGGACCCTTCCAAAATCTCTGGTTCACTTTGAGGTCTGCAGAGGGGTCAGGTGGGCTTGCCCTGCCCCCTGGGATGGTCCCCCCAGCTGGGAGGGTGGCCATGTGGCTGGGCTCTCGGAGCAGAACCGGGGGGGGGGGGGGGCAGGGGGCAAGGCGCTTCCAGGGATAACACGTTGGTGCCATTGACGCAGCAGCAGCAGCAGCTGATGACCCCAGTGCTGCTGAGACAAAGTCATGGGCACTGCCAGGAGCTGGTGCTGACAGAGGACGAGAAGAAGCTGCTGGCCAAGGAGGGGGTCGCGCTGCCCACCCAGCTGCCCCTCACCAAGGTAAGGAGAGGCCAAGGGACGGGATCCCCCCGGGTCACCTTTACAGCTGAGTCTTATCCTTCCAGTGCATGGAGAGCCAGCGGGGTAGTCGTGGAGGGGGTTGGGGGCATGAGGGCCCATGGGACAGGGGTCCCTGCTGGGCTCATTGTGGACTCAGCCGTAGGTTCTGGTCTGCTGTTGGCTCCTGGAGCAGATCTAGGCCACGGCAGTGCCACCGACTCCAGGGGTGTGGTGGTACTCGCTCATCCCAGGGTTGAATTGGACCCCAGCGGAGGAGCCTGGGTGGGAGGGAGGGACAGTGAATGGGCCACGGGGGTGGTTTGTAGGACAGGTCTTGGTGGATGCCCAGGCCCTGGGGGAAGCGGGTTGTTCACACAGGAGAGATCAGCCCTTGGGGGCTAGGGGAGGGAGAGCGGCGGGGCCGGCTTGTTCGCCATCCCCAGAACCTGTGCTCCCTGCTGGGCCATCTCAGCTGAGGGAGTTTGGTTAGTGTCAGAACTCCTGGGTCTTATCCACTGGGGGGCCTTGAGCAGGTCCCCTCCCCTCTTGGTGCCTCAGTTTCCCATCTTGGTGGGGGGGGGGTCAGGTAACTGCTCCCTGCAGAGCATTCCAGCCCCCCCAGTGAGAGGCGCACAGTAGTATCTATTCTCCGGGGTCACAGGGTGATGGGCTGTGGGGCTGGGAAGGACCCCAGTCGGGGAGTCCCCCCCCAGTGCCATGGTCCAGGCTCTGCCCTTCTCTCCGGCAGTACGAGGAGCGAGTGCTGAAGAAGATCCGCCGGAAGATCCGGAATAAGCAGTCGGCTCAGGAAAGCCGGAAGAAGAAGAAGGAATATATCGATGGGCTGGAGAGCCGGTGAGACCCCGGCTGCTCTCTCCGCACATCCGAGCAGGAGCTGCCTGCCTCAGGCTGGAGCCGGCTGGCTCTGGGCCCCACGCCCCGGTGCCCTGCCCCTCGTGCAGTCATTTACCGCTGGGCCACGGGGGCACAATGCCCCTGGGCTGGGCTGTTGGCGGTGCAGGCTCGGGTCCTCTCTCTAGACGGGAACCTGCCTCATGCCCCTACCTAGTTCCCACCCAGCGCTGCCCGACGGAGCCGCCTCTGCCCCCACCCCAGTTCCTATCTCACCCCTGCTTCCCCATGTCCCATCTCAGCCCCCCACCGGCTCACGCCTCCTCCCGGTTCTCCCCCCAGGATGTCGGCCTGCACGGCGCAGAACCAGGAACTGCAAAGAAAAGTGCTGCACCTGGAGAAGCAGAACTCGTGAGTCCCAGCTCCCTGCTGCCGGGGGGATGGGGGCACTGGCTGTCTCCCCCTTAACCTGAATAACCGGGTGATCCGGCTGCAAAGAGAGCCCAGGGGATGCCTCCCCCAGCTCCCCTGGAAGTGAAAGTTACCCAGAGCCCCCCTGGAGATGGCCCTGCGAGCTCCCACCTCGGCCATCGGGGCAGGCTGGCTCCCTGCACTTGGCCCCGGGGCTGCAAACAGAGATGGGCCCAAGTTGCCCACTTCAGCCCTGCCGCCCCCTGGTGCCTGGCAGGGGGCTTTGATCTAATTCTAACTTGCCCCGAGGGATGGGTCTGCCCCTGGGGCCCCACGGGGGGCAGTGCTCCCCCCTTCAGCGCCTGCCTCTGACCAGGTCTTTTCCGCATCCAGGTCCCTCCTGGAGCAACTGAGGAAACTCCAGACCCTCGTGTTGCAGTCGACTAACAAAGCCGCCCAGACGGGGACCTGCATCGCGGTGCGTGGAGATCTCTCGCCATTTGCCCCCTTCTCTGCTGATGCCCCCAAGGGGGGCTGGGCCTCGCTTTAGGGGAGCGGGGGGCTCTGCTGGGCAAGACTTCCTGGACCCCCTCCATCTCCTTTCCCCCCACTGCCTCCATATAGCCACGAGACCCCTATTCCTGTGGAGGGGTACGGCCCAGCAGCAGCTGGGGGCTGCACCAGCACCCCCGGCTCTGCCATTGCCTCTGTGTTGGGGGTGGGCTCTGTCATGGTCTGGCTCCATGGAGCTTTGCTCCCCCCCACACACACACATACTGCTGCTGACCACAGGATGGCGCTCTGATACCACGGGAACGGGCACAGGCAAGGAAGGGTAGATGGACAGGCGGGCAGACAAACATCACAGAGTGTATGGGGCCCGATAGAGAGTCAGAGAGAAGTGGGATGAATGGGGATAGAAAGAGAGCGAGACAGACAGAGAGGTATGAACGGGGCTGGATGGACAGATAGACATTGGGGGTATGGACGGATAGACAGATAGACACTGGAGTATGAATGGGGATGGATGGAAAGACAGACAGAGGGGTATGGATGGAGATGGACGGTTGGACAGACAGACAGAGGATGGGGATGGACGGACGGACGGACAGACAGACATAGGGGTATGAATGGGGATGGATGGACAGACAGAGGGGTATGGATGGATGGATGGATAGACAGACAGGATGGGGATGGATGGATGGACAGACAGAGGATGGGGATGGACGGACAGACAGACAGACATTGGGGTATGAAT